AGGGACAGGGGCTGCAGTGATGCAGTGTACATCACTGGCAGCCATCTTGGGTTTGCAATATTGTTCCAAAGTCTCAGCACCTAACATGCTGAGTTACACCAACAAACCAACAAACACTTGTAAAAGCATCCTAGCCGACTTGTCATGTCCACATATCCTAAATGAGAAAAAGTCATGGTCCTATTTGTTGATACATTGCTACAAATATGTAACCTAAACATCATGTCTATGACTGTCTATCACAGGCAAACTTCAACCAATCAGATAAAAAAAAACACATATATAACGTAGTATTACGGAAGCCAGTCAGCCTTAAGTGCCGTTCTTCGCTTTTCTTTCAGTAAAGAAGGAATACTTTACAGTTCTGATATAACTGATGTTAGCAGCATCCACGCTAACCTCTTGAGCAGCTGGTATTGTTATTTAACAGACAGTGTCTTCTCACTGCATCATTTCTAGTGCCCACCTCCTTAGCTGTCAGTGCTTCCTGATGATGATTAGATACATACATAGATTGAAGCCTGGCCAGATGCATTCTTGCATGGTTTTGTGATCCTGCGACTTCAGTTGCCTCGTTAGGTTAACGGATTTGTAGTGTAGGCTAGGAAGTGCAACATCTTACCAACAATGTCCTTAGTTCTACTTTTTTGAGTGGGTAAAGCATCCATCACTGGCGTGTTCACTGCACACAGTCCGTTTGTTTTAGTACATTTGAAAGTCCTATATTTTTGATGTTGAAATGAGCTCATGTCCTTATTCGTCTTATTTAATTAATCCAAACGAGGCATCTTGTCTGAGTTCCGTGCAGAACTCTCTGTTCTAATGAAAATAAATGTCTAGTGATAACTCGAATTTTGTACAAATATTAGGAGATTTAGGAGAATGTTCTGTTGGTTGAAATTGGTGAACAGATAGTCATTTATCCATTGATTCAGTTTCGGTGATGAATCAGATTGGGGATTTCCACTATTAGATAGCTTCTTTAGTAGGTACCATGGTGTGTCCACATGCTACTTTTTCTCATTTAAACCTGGAAGACAGAGGATAGACAGACATGAATGATTAAAGATGGTGAAGAATTGGTCCGGTGTGATGTCCGTTACTGGTTTCTGGCTTCCAAGCATACTTTGGATGAGCTTTACAATTAGAAATGTAAAAAGTAAACTCATGACTTAAAATCAAATTGCCGTACCCAACTGATGGCCTTGCATTGATTAATGTGTCCATCTTTCTGTGTCCGTCTTTGTCTTTGCCCTGCTAGGAAAAGTAAAGCTAAATGAAAAATACTCAAAATTAGTTAAAATTGTGATAAAATGTATCTGATTCAATCAATTCAATCAAATTATGATAAATAACTTTGACATTTTAATTCAAAAGGATGAGAATGACCTTGACTTGAGCATTTAATCACTTATTATCTCAACATTAGGTCTTTTTCTAAGTTTCTCTTCATTTAGACTTAAAATGTCAAAATCTGACCTTAGCACTTTGACTTAGTATTTCATGATTTTAACCATTTGCCATAAGTATTGCCATTCCTAACTTTTCATCCATTTTCTCTTTTCCTGTTATTCCATAAGGTGTGCATTTGAATGTGAACTATTTAAATTTAGATTAATGTGATCCAGAATAAAGCTAACACTGCTCATGGTGCCACACACGTCAGTTCTTTGTTCAAAACTGGAAGAAAAAAATCATTGTAGTGAATGTCACATGCAGTTGTGTAAATTTCCTTGGCATAAAAGCAAGTATGATTGTCAGGGTAGTAAAATATTACCAGTGAAATTGAAGACAGACGGAGCCTCCACCCATCATCAGTTAGAAAAAAGAATCTCCTCGGGGAGGGACACACATTCTAATTCTCCCTGCTTGGCGTCAAAAGGCGCTGAAGCTCAGGCTTTCCCCATGACTTGTGAGTGATAAGATCATCCCTTCTGCCATTTCAGGCCAGGCGGCTCAGGCTGCATTTTACACGGAACAGAAAATCTCCTTTGTAACCCCTTGCCCTGCAGACCTGATCTGCTCTTGGCTGAAAGGATAAATCTCATTTTTTTGCTGTTAAACAGCAACAAGGAAAGGCTTTTTGGCCCTAACGTTGCCCAAACTGATTTAGATGGTGCTTATATTCCCAGATTCAGCCTGATGGTTAGACTACATGTGTGCTGTGTTTCATTCAGTCTGACTGAAACTGCCTCGGGAAGGCTTTAACACAACAAAAAACATTCAGTGACTCTACATCAAGTTTTTTTAACAATAAATCCAGAGCAGAATCTGCTCTTTGAGTCACATTTGGGTTGTGCACCAGACTTGTAATTGCACTGCTGACTAAGATGGTGTCACCGATAAATGCAATGAAGAAACAGCAGCTTTAAAGAAAATAGTTCCAGTGCGATCTTACTTCCTGCCTTGCTTTGCTTTGCTCTGCTTTGCTGTTCATCATCTGAGATGGTCTTTAAAGATCCCCTCCAGACATGTATGAGGACATATATACAAAAAGTGTAGTAATGTGTATCTGATATGTTTTTTTTTTTATTATTTAATTTTGGGGTTGTTATAGCAAAAAAAAAAAAGGTTTAATTTCCACATTAAAATCCTTAAAAACATATATACTCCATCTACCTCATTATAAATCCCAGAATCTCTGAATATGCAAATGTTTTTCATCTCTAAAGTTTTCCTGCTGGACACAAGATGTCTCCTACTTCACTGTAAAGTCCATTCTCAGTGAATGAGCACTGGTGGCTTTAAGTTTCTACATCACACTGTACAAGTTGCATACTGGACCAGGATGGACTTCCAAACTATTGGTGATGTAGGGTAGGCCCCGCCCCTTAAAATCAGGGAGCACAGAGAAACTTTCCACTTTCAGCAGATGAATGTGAAAACATCCTTCTAGTGTCAAACTGTGCACATACAGCATTCTGCACAATGAAGATCAAACAGCACACTGAGGGAATAAGAAGTAAGATTTATTTTTGACTGGAAGGGGCTTTTGTTGCACATTTTATTTGACTTAGTTGTTCAGACTATTTTTAAGAAATAGCTACTCCCAGTGCAGAACTTTAAATGTTTACCTGTTTACATTAAATGTCTTTTTGGTTTTACAGACTCTAGCAAGTAGTAGAGTCTGTTTGTTGGCCTTGTGATTGACTGGAGGAAGAGCCTGACCTAACCACAGGGAATGATTGGTCTTGGTTAAAGGTTTTATTTAGAAGATGTAAAAGTGGAAGAGAGCCAGATCCAGCTCTTGCCTCTCACAATGATCCTGAATGTATTTTGATTGGTGTTTTTCTTTTTTCAAAAGGGAAACATCTGCGATTGTAGGTGCCTGCCTAAACTGAGCAAAAACATAGTAACATTTGCAGATAAAAAACGGTGTTAAAAGGATGGAAAAGCTCAAAATGACAGAAGGGGCTTCCTCTTGTTCCTTAAAGAACCTCGGTGCCGTGAGAGTCTCAGCAAGCGGCCTCATAGTTGAGATGCCTCGGTGCTTTGCAGAGGGGAAGAGCAGATAGCTTTCAGCCCTAAAACCAGACCCATGCATCCCAAACAAGAAGTCTCTGCTAATTACATCGGTCTGAAAGCTATAAAGAGGGGTGGGGTGGTGGGGAGAGGGGGGCGGGGGGGCGGAGGAGTCAGGGTGGCCTGGAAAACAACACACATGGAAGAAAGAATGAAAAGAAAATCAAGACAATAATTCATAATTTTCTCTCCGCTGAAAATGAAGAACGTCCAATTTAGCAGCCTCTATTTTTACGCATGACAACGTTGTTATTTACTATTTCTAACACAAGTTTCCACAGAGAAAGGCGAGCTTTCGGCTCCTTTTTTCTCTCTCTAGCGCGTTAGAGCTCGTCGCAGTTCTGATGTGGCAAAATGGAGCTGAGTGTCATCACAAATCCTTTATTTCACCACCTTTAATTTCACTGATGTTGACTGCAAAAGAGGAACTCCTCGTGTAAAGACAGTCTCCTTTTAAGTTAATTTATGCATTTAATTATGAGAAAAATGTTGTGCTGGTCACTGTAGATGGTGTTCAAACGGGTTCAGTATACAATCTATTGTGTGAAATGTGTGAAGATCATTTTGAATCTAATGAAAGGCGAAGGAAGAACACAAGAAATATTTCTCTTCTAATCCCACTAGAGCCATAAATTTCCCGCCGCTTATTAATTTAGGAGCAATCAGAAGTGACGCAGTCACAGTGTGCTGAGCCGCAATGATTCTCACGCAAAAAAATACTGTATTAGCGCTGTCAGACATCTTCCCCGACGTGTTTCTGTGTGTTTGCTGTCATCACGCGGGGGAAATTTCGGCTTCTGTTTTTGGTCACAAAAGGTGATTTAGCATCAGAAAGTGAATTACTGATATTACACATTAGAACATCTGATATTTATCCGCTGAAGGTCACCTTCACACAGGAGCCAGAAACAAGTCAGATATCTCCCTGACTGCAATCACTAATATGGGATGAACCGCAAACACGTTAGACATTTAAAACATATTCGTTGCTATTGTATGCTTTTGCTGAATTAAATATGTGTATTTTTGAAAGGCATGTTGTTCCATATACCAGTAAGCTATACTGGGACGAGACTGTGTTTTATCCACTGTGGGCTACTTTTTTCCTGCTGCGTTTCATCTGAAAAAATCTGAATAATGAGGCTCCGTCCATATTTGTCCATCGTGCCTTCCTCTTAGTGCATGGGAGCTGGGAGTTAGATGGAGCAGGCCGTCTGTCTTCCACGTGGTGTCAAATAAAAAAGCCATGGATCTACTCGTGTCAGATTTGCGCCCCATGTTGACACCATAAACCTAGTTTACGCACCAAAGTGCGAGTTGCAGAGTCAGGTGTTGCAACTTTTACGCACGGGGAGAGATGGTGTTTCGATCATTTAAGGGGGGTTAAAGACTTTCTAATTTTCTCATAATGTTATAAAACTCTCAAATTGCATTTATTTTAATTGTATTATTAATTCCCTCCTCTCCTCTTCCTCCAGGTGACCCCTCGGCCAACTGGCTGCATGCGCGCTCCTCCAGGAAGAAGCGGTGCCCGTACACCAAATATCAGACGCTCGAGCTGGAGAAGGAGTTCCTGTTCAACATGTACCTCACGCGGGACCGGCGGCATGAGGTGGCGCGCGCGCTCAACCTGACGGAGCGGCAGGTGAAGATCTGGTTCCAGAACCGGAGGATGAAGATGAAGAAACAGAGCAAGGACCAACCTAAGGACTAGTGGGACTCTCACTCGCGTGCTCACTTATACATTCAGACGCGCACGCACTCACGCTCACAACATGTATCCAACATAAACCTCCCTATTTCTAACACAAAATGGCCTTCCCAAAAACTGCAAAAACACATACATCTGCTGTTTCCCAATTGTTTTAACCTCCAGGCTCTACCAAGTGAGCTTCAGTCCAATCACACCGATCTATACAGCTGATCAATGGCTTTTATTGATCTCTAACAGACGCTGAGGACGCCTCCACGTTATCACTGAAGTCTTAAGAGAGTCTGTCTGATGTTTGAAGGGGGCTTTGGAATCATCTGAGTTTGTGGTCACGGAGGAGGATGATGGGTAAAACCTCACAGACCAACAGCAATTCCTCCAGGACCCGCTCTCTTGTAAATGGGTCGGACTGCATATGAAACTGCGGATTGGACTGTTTGATGAACTGAGAGCTCTTGTTCTTCCTACGTCTTCATAGTTTTATATTAACGCTATTATTTAGGCTTTGATATTAGGCTGCATTATGAAAGGGAAGGAAGCAGCAAACCGCCATTGATGCTACAGCGGAGGGGGGGCATACAGACAGAGAGAGAGAGAGAGAGAGAGAGAGAGAGAGAGATGTTTTTTTCTTTTTTCTCAAGCACTACTCTTCCTTTTATTAGTTATTTATTGTTCCGTCGCTGACACCGGAGGCGCGCGGAGGTGCTGAAACCGGGGTTTCACATGGCCATTAATAAGCACGAGGAGCGAAGGGGGATGCCCACACACACATACACACACACACACACACACACACACACACACACACACACACACACACTCCTTCTTCTCCTCTTTTCTAGTTTCTCTCATTGCTGGCAGGATTTGATTAGAAAGCGCCTGATGGTCGGCGTTGATACAAGCAGCGAGCCGCCGTTTGTTTCCCGGTTGTCGGTCTAAGTAATGAGCAGATACCGGAGGGGGGAGGAGGAGGAGGAGGAGGAGGAGGGTGGGGAATGATGGGGTGGCTGGGGTGTTAACCCGACTCAGCAACCGGGGATCCGATTAGGCTGCTGTCGATATCGTGGATCCCCGCCCTTCGGCTACCTCTCCGGATGCTTTATACGCTGCGGCGGCTCATCCGCGGCCTTTATCGGCTATCGATAGTCTCTCCGCCTCCGCCTGGAGTTAACAGGGTTTATCAGAGAGGAGACACAGCACAAAGCACCGTGTTTTAAAAAATTACACCCACCATTTTTGCAATAATCATCAATACTCCGTTTTTGGTTGAATCCAGGTGAGATTTATCCGGATCAGCACGTCAGACGATAGATGTAGTTGCTTCCTCTCAATCCCTGACCCTGCATGCTTTCTTAAAGGTGACACAAACGCTTATTTAGACTGGACAGTAGAAATCAGCCATGGCTGCTCATTCTCTTAGCTTACTAGCTATTTCCAGTGAAGATTCTAGTCCACATGCGCTTGCAGCACTGCTCCGCGCCCTGCAGACCAGAACACCTATCCTCCCTGACGCCATCTTCCAGTCTTTATTTAACGTGGTTCTCGCATTGCGTTTTCTGAAATGATCAGCTCTATTTTTATACATATGCTACGGTATGTTGTGTGTTCTCTGCTATGCAAGGCGGGTTTCTCTCTCATTTCAGGTAATATACAGAGAGTTGGCGCAACGGCGGTTTCCAAACGCACCCTGGGAGAAAAGAGCGAAACACCCCCGATGCGCTGACATGTTTACTGACAATTTTTTACATTTCTTTTTAGGCTTTTCCCCCTGGAAATATAATCCCTAGAAGTTCTATAATAACAAGTTTATATCAACAGACATAACAGAACACTTCAGATTTATTCCCGCGCCAAATGCTTTAGCAATAGTGTCTACATTTAATAGCTCGGAGTTTTATCTGGTTAGTTTATGCAGAATTTTATTGATCTGAGTGTTAAAATATGAAGAAGAGGCCATGTTGGAAGGCCGGCCGGCTACTATGGCGTTATTTGAAGTGTCGGCGCAGTTAAATGGCGTCCGATGGCAGTTTTATGGACGGATCATAAACAACGCGTAGGCTTTACAACGTTTACAACAGTGTGTGTGCGTGTGTGTGTGTGTGTGTGTGTGTGTGTGTGTGTGTGAGAGAGAGAGAGTGAAGTGTGTGTGTGTGTGAGAGAGAGGTGTTGGATGTTGCGGCACGCAGACCACAACGTCTGCGTGCGCGCCAGCATTGTAAAAATAGACAGTATATAATAATTTACACACACTCGCGTGGATTTTGCCTCCAGTTCAGTTGGTGTTATTCTCATGTTTCCATTCACAGGCAGAAACGAACGGGTCTACAACCAGCCTTTTTGCAAAGTCTTAAACAGAGAAGCGCTACAATTCCTCGATAATCCGCACCGAATCCTCTATTTACGAGTACAAATGTTTACATGGTTTGCGCATGCCTCGAGTCACTCGTCATTTGAAGACGTTATTTCGTCGTTTAGCTCTTTGTGTGTTAAATCTGTCAGAGGGGAATGCTTACTGCAGAATTAAAACAGACTAAATAGAAGTTTCTCGATAGGAAATATTTCTAATTTATTGTATATAAAGTGAGTAACCTCGTCTTTCTTTTTGGAATGAGTTCAATATGCTGAATATTGTTTTGTCTTATTGGAACATGCATCTTACTGTAATATAGATGGTTTTTTTCCTTTTGTCTGTCATGTTCTTTAGATTCTGTTTTCCATGTTGTTGTGCCGGCTGTCTGAATGATCTGTTCTGATGTCAGTCCGATCAGCTCTCTGTGTATGATTTGTTTAACGGTAAAGTGTTGGGACAGAGAGGACGAAAAGGTTGGATTAAACTGAAGCAATGCTTCTCTGTAACTTATCATTTCTATTTGAATTATTGACTCTGTCCCCTTCTGCCCTTACTATGACTCTCTCCCGCTTCCCGCCCCAGTATTTACTCTCCTGACTGGAGGAACAAAGTTTCTGGAGTATTATTTGCTGTTGATAAATATGGACAGAGCTACACAAGTCACTCCTTTTTTTTTTTTTTAAATGAGACAAATGTTAGCCATGTGGCCACATAAAGGCTTTATTAACGAGCAGGCGAACTCCAGTCACTCTGATCCTCTCCTCCATGTGAAATGTTCCCTTCTTGTATGTTTTCCTCTCTTCTGTGTGTTGTTGTCTCTTGTTTCTTTGTGCGATGGCACTGCTGATGCTGGATTCCTATTAAAGAGACTTTACAGTACCGACCGACCATGCTTCATTTCATTGCATTGCTGCCAATTAAACACAGGCTTATCTGGGAGGAATGGTGGGGGATCCTTTGTGATTTACAGCAGAAATCGACCATTTATATAATTCCCGTCATTTAAAGGACCTTTCACAGCCCTCTGGTGTGAATGAGGCGGCAGTGGGAAAGTTCTGAGAGAGCAGCTGAGCTCTCATCTCGGTTTCTTCTTTTCTTACTTCTCCAGATTGAATTTGGTCTCTGTGGGAAGACAGAAAGAGACAGAGGCGAGCGGGGGGAGGAAGGAGGGAGGAGGGGCAGGGAGAGAAAGAAGCGGATGAGCCAGCATGTGTTTAAAATATGTGTCTCTTCAGTTGTACACTGAAGCTTAAAGGAGAGGGGCGTCTGTTTGGCTGCAACACCAAAAGACTGTCATAAACCCATAAACACCCCCCCCCACCCCACCCACACACACACACACACACACACACACACACACACACACACAAGATGATGAGTGCATTCATTAGGAGCGTCGTCATCCGTCCATTAGTAGCCTGTGAAGCCGCTGCGGTTCCTGTGTTTGTCTCTGCAGCAAATGACTGATAGACACAGAGTCTGATGAGGGCTGCAGGATCTCTATTTCCTCCCCTGCTCCTCACAAGGTGTAGAAAACAATTATAGTAGAGCCTGGAGTCGAAGTAGCACAAGTAGTAAACGTTCCCATTTGTTGCTGTTCATGCAAAAGAAGCAGGAGAAAACTAGTAGAGGTAAGCTTCAGTGTCTCTTCCAGCTGTGGAGAATCATTGGTAGCTCTATTAGTAACACTAATACAATCTATTCTATAGCACTTGTATAATCAGAATCAGAAATACTTTAATAACCCCAGGGGGAAATTATTTATAAATTGCAAAGTCAAATTATTTGAAGATCAACGATTGCAGCTGCTGTCTCCACTTGTGGTGAGATTTTAGAAATATCCAGGTGTCCAAATTCCCACAGTGCAACTCCACCATTCCTAAATATGTTGTTGCCTGGTCACCAAAAAGGCTGCAAAGTGGTTTTTATTCATCTGTTCAAATATATTTTTTACAAGTTAGGTCTTTTAGAGGATGCACCTTCCCAGTATTTTCTTTGTGGTGCTAAACCAAACTCATATAAGTTCCAATGTTGAACACCCACAGGCAAAAAGGTAACACACACACAGATTTCAAGGACAAAGTCGATTTTTACAAATTTCACCAATTTATTTCAGCCATGTCAAAGTGTGTAAATTCTAAACTCTACTGACCTCAGTGCCCTCCTGTAGCTGCGGCCCTGGCTGCAGTTGTAATAGCAGTAGGAGTGTAGCTTTCATGTAGCTGCCCATAGGCCTACAATTTAAAATGAAGTTACAATGAATTTAAAATGAAATTAGTGTAGGAGTGGAAGCACTAACAGGGTAACAGCACTGGCATTAGCAGCAGTTGTCTTGGTAACACTTCATCGTGAGCATTTATAAGTACCATGCAAACACTTATGAAATGGTTCATACCGCACTATAATAAAGTCCTAAAGTATCTGTCAACATGTATAACCCCTCCAATCAAACATCCCTAACTGGTGAATAAACATTTAATGAATGCTTGATAACACATTGTAACATATGATAAATGATTACACACAAATATTCACAGTGTGTTAGGCTATATAGTGTTGATGAACAGACATTCACAGGTCAATTTAAAACTGTATGTAATTGTGTTTAAACACATGAAGACACATCATTACAACTATTATAACTATGTCATGATATCAAAACATTCACTAACTTTATATAGTTGTGGATGGATAACAGAAGCAGTTATAGTTCTTAATAAATATCCAAATAAACACTTAAAACATCCTTAAATCTGCTTTACTGTTTCTATGCCAGTTATGAATACTTCATGGGAAATATAAAGGAGTTATAGCTGTTGGCAAATACATTTCTGAACACAAAAAGTATCTTCTTGGGTCTGATTTTGGTTACATAATGGTGTGTTACAAACATATAGTTATATGGTGCTTAAATGCTGTGTTGAAAGCAGGTTCTATCTTAATAACTGTATTTGCAGCATTGGTGGGTAAACAGCCTTGGTGTAAAGAGGTAGAGATGTGTGGGTGAACAAAGTCTCAGCACAGCCTCTCTGCTTCACCCTGCTCTGCTGGGCCCAGCCAATGAGGCCTCAGGATTAAAGCCGCTTTAGGCTCGGGCCCCAACAAAGCAATCCCATAAACCATCTGTGTACTCGACGGCGGATGATTGTGATACTTCTCTGAGGTCTAGCAGGGTCGGAGCTTCATTAAATCCAGAAGCCCTGCGCTCTGCTGCAGGCCTCCCTCCAGCCTCAGTCCGCTTCTCCCAGGGAAGGGCAGCAACTGCAAGCTGCTTCACCCAACTGTGTGTGTGTGTGTGTGAGAGAGAGAGAGAGAGAGAGAGAGAGAGAGAGAGAGGGAGAGGGAGAGAGAGGGAGAGAGAGAGAGAGGCGGGGGGTGGAGGATTTGCTTTGACACATGGCACAGTAAATCTAGGAGAATGCAGTGAGCAGGAGCCTCACACCAGAACACACATTCACACCAGGTTGATACAGGGATGAGTTTCAGTCCTGGAGGCACAGAAACACCAGGGAGACATCAGGAAGTGGAGGGCAGAATCAGGAGCAGCAGAACTGTAATAAAGTAGTATAGAAGTAGAAGTAATTTCACAAACAGGCCCGCCCAAAGAAATGGCTGGGCCCCTGATAAGGTCTAGTGAATGGACCCTCCCAGAATCTGCTTCACTCATATGAATGCATGCCCTCTCTACATAAACACATCCATGTAAACTGAGAGAGACAGTAATAGGGGCTAAATAGGCATAGAAAACACACAGGTGATGGAGGCTCCCACGTTGATGCTAGCCACCTTTTGGCTAGTAACATTAGCCTCCTGGCTATCATTCAGAGTGACTTGGACCAGCTTTCCGAGCTGAAAAAACATTACGTTAGTTACGTTGGTCATTACGTTATTATTTGGATCTAAAGCCCTTGCCAGCTTCCGCTTTTTTCCTCCTTTCTTTTGGGGCATTCAGTTCATGTGCAGGTCCTGGCATAGTGTTGAAATTGACCATAATTAGCTAGTAGTTTAGATCAGCACATTTCTCAAGTCATGTGGCCTGAGAGAAAAAAAAAGACCATTCTTTTTGAAACCAGCAACATTTTACCAAAACAACAATAAATAAGATGTTTATTTTTATTTTAGTAAGTATTGTGAGTATTTTGGTCGTAAATAAAATGCGGTTTCTTATATAGGATGCATGGCCTCCATGGGGCTCCCTTGCGGCTTGGCCCCTGAAAGTTTTACCCTTTCAGCCCCTTATGGGCGGCCCTGTCTACAAACAGGAAGAATGTGCAGAGAAATGAATGTTTATAATGCAAAAAAGAAAACATCTTAGTCTGTAAACATATATCTATCTATCTACATTTAGAAAGATTAGATAGTAATAGTGACCAACATTGGTGCCATATTGTTGTCATATTCATGCATAAGTACCTTCCCAACAGCACAAAAGTGCTTCCCTGGTTCCCTCTGGAGTCAGCCCTGCTTTGATACTCAATGTATTGCTAATCTACATTTATAAAATCTAATGTTACTGTCTGATTTACTGTAATACAGTGTGATCTGGATCTGGGCACCAACAGAAAGCTGGATCAGGAGACATTTCTGTTCAGTCTGTTTCTAATAAAATTCCTGCAGTGTGCATCCCACTGGGTTGGAGACTGTTGTTGGAGGTGGCTATGTTGCTGAGAAGTGTCACCCAAAAAACCAACACACAACCCAATGCACCCCCACCTACCCCGACTCCCACCTCCCTTTCTCTGTAATACATCCCAACTGTGAGGCAATGGAAAAATCCAGATTGGCTCATTGTGCAGTGATTTAGCTGTGCGGCTAAAGTAGGCGCAGGCTTCATCATCTCAGTGATATTTTCTGAAACTAAATGGGCTGCACAAGACAAACCACGTGCTGCTGCTGGTAAAATTCATATTTCAACCCAGGCGAACGTGGCCAATCCAATATGTCTTCACTTTATCCTCTCATATTAAAACAGAGTCCACAGATAATAACCGGCTTCACTGACACACTCTGGGGTGGATGTTAGAGCGCAGCAGGCCCGGAGCAGCTCTCCCCTGTCCCCCACACTGAATGAGCTGTTTTACACAGCACAGCTTCTATAATTCATCAAGCAGCAGAGAATATCATTCATATTCATAAATTTTCTCAAAGAGAGTTATGGTCCCGCTGATACAAACGGCTGTATGGATCAGATCACATCAGCCATTCTGGACTCATTAACAGTTGGACGGCGAGCCAAATGCTGCTGGCTGCTCTGCACATGTTCCAGCTGCCTGTGAGTGGGCAGAGAAAAATAATAATAACATCAAATATAGTCTTAATAACTGTATGGGCAAGTGACTGTAACAGCTGCCTGTGTCCGGGCAGAAGACAGTGACCTCAGATATGATCAATAACAATATGTGTACAAATACAACAAGGGTAACAGCACAGGCGCTTTGGGTAGTAACACCCTAAAATATAAGTTATCGTGTAAATGCGCAATTTACAGATCGCAATGTATTTGTTTTTTAAGTCTTAACTCTCTCTAAGTCATCTTACTAGCTTTTAATGGAGCTTTAATGCCACTTCTTCCCAGGCTGACAGTTTGAGAGAGACTGTGAAACGCGGTTGAAAGCTCTGGAAAAAAAAATATTTTTTGTTTTTTGGTCAAAAACTTTTTCCAAGATACACAAATAAATAAATAAATAAATAGAGAAATACATCAATACATACATAAATGGTTGAGCGCTCTTGCCAGCTTTATGGACCCGCTTTTATCATTTATTACATCACGAATGAAAACTTAATTATAATTCATATTATTTAATAGCAATTTAAGCTACTTGATTATAATGAATATATATTAGAATATTACAATATCATTGTACGACGCCTAACTA